TCTGGATTTTTGTTTAGATTCCATCACACAGTTGAAGAGTACCTATGATAAAAATTACAGTCATCTACAAGCTTTGCAAGTGGGAAAACCTGAAAAATCAACAGTGTATCAAATACTTGTTCTCCCCACTGTAATTATAGTAAAGCAGAGTTAAAGAATATCATTAAAGAAAAGATCAAAGTAAAGTGGCAAGAATTTTGGGACAGGCATAATAAAGAACGGTTTTATTATAGTTTGAAAAGAAAGGTGGGTGGGATAATAGTTTTGAGTTGTAAAAATAGAAAGGAAGAAGACATTTTATTTCGTATGAGACTTGGACACACAAGATTAAATAGCACATTGCATATTATTGGAAAACATGAAAGTGGAAACTGTGATTATTGTGCACAGTCAGAGACAGTGGAACATGTGATCATGTATTGTAATAAATATAAATATCAGAGGAAAATATTCAAGAACAAGATTTTACAACAAAAGCTCCAGTTTTCAATTAGGGAAATAATGAATGGAAGTTCTGTAGAAATTGTTTTCAAGGCTTTAGTTAATTTCTTAAAAACCACAGGTTTATTTGTTGGGATTTAGAGTTTTTTGTTTTGTTTTGTTTTGGGAGCCTTCTGGCCCACACTTCATTCCAGAAGRTGGCGGTAATGCACCTAAAGGTTGTTTGCCAACCGCCATTAAACAACAACAGAAGAAGAAGAAGACTCCTTGGCTGGGCTAGGTTCTCATGAGGACCCAGCCTAGCTGGGCCACGTAGGCCACATCCTTGCTGGGCCTGGTAGGATGCTCAAAACTGCTGCGAATTGAGACGGTCTAGCCTTCGCCTGATGTCGGCTTCACGTAGGTTTGCGTGACCACGTGCTCCCCCGTTACCATAGTGATCAGTTTCATGTCGGACTTAAAATGCTTCGGGMYRTGTTTACACGTCTTTTTACTGGAAGAATAAATTCACAGTTAAAAAGGTAAACGTAAATAAAGAAAACAATAATTTGGGTTTAGATCCAGTATCTACACCGGAGTATTAGGACCACACACATTTTTTATTATTATTACAAAAATAGTCATAATATGCGAATAAAGTTGTAATATTATGAGAATAAAGTCATAATTTGCGAATAAAGTTGTAATATTATGAGAATAAAGTCAGTGCTTGGTGACCTTAAGAATGCTGGAACAACTTATTCATTTAGTAGAATGCTTAAAAGTTTTTTT